TGAGCCCGGTGTCGTGCTGTTACTCTCCCTCTGAGCTTGATGCCCCTTCCCTGGTTGTGTGGGTACCCCCTTGGAGTTTACTCTGAGAGCTGTACCTGCCGTCTTCCCACCCATTCCTACCTCTGCCATGCGACTGAGCTCCCTTCTCCTTTGTTCATGTATTGTGCATTGTGTACAGGGCACGTGAGACTGTGCCACATTGGTTTTCGACTTAGGACATTGGTTTAGTTATTCTTTGGCCTTTAGGGCGCTGGGGTTGATTTATATTCAGCCTATTTGGCTCATGAGACATTTTTCTCTTTCTTGGCCGACATAGGTCAGACATTTTTCTCTTTCTTGGCCGACATAGGTCAGACATTTTTCTCTTTCTTGGCCGACACAGGTCAAACATTTTTCTACTTTTTGGGTCGACACAAACCAAACATTGTTGTATAGATTAGGCTTGAGGCTTAGTCCGCATTGCATCCTTTTTCCTGCATGGAGCCTGCTCCCCATCTAGGATTGTTTCCTTTGCCGTTCCTTTTGGGTTTCCGCTATTTCAGCGGATAGCGTGTTGATGTATCGCTTGATCCATTCACAGGTCCGAGGATCGTGTAGCGGTACCCCTACGGCCCGACAGTGAGGCCGGACCAGTTTCAGGCCGTCGGCCTGACCGTGGTCCGGTACCAGGTTGCTCCATGCTTGGACCTAGGCCGGTATATCACTTCGGCCTAGGCCCAGGGCGGAGGTTGGTTCTTCAGTTGTTCGTTCTTTCATTGAGCCGGAGCGGACCTTCACTCAGCTGCTGCTTCTCGTGTGTGTCCATCTCCTCTCTCTCTCTCTCTCTCTCTCTCCGCACGTGCCATCTGCACGTGCGTCATACCCAGCAGGCCACTGACGTGTTGACCCGGCTTGATATTAAGAAGTACAAGTCCGTGGGTGAGCTTACCTTTGTCGTGGAGGGTCTCATTGTCGTCCTAGGCGTGCGCTATGATCCACAAGTCTTGATGACCATGTTCTTGAGATGTCTTCCCGCAGACGTCAAGAACTTGTTGGTCAACGGGGCCAGGATCGAATATCATACTCTGGACTCCTTCAGCAAGAAGGCCCTAGAGGCTAGGCTAGGAGGAGCCCAACAACCCTCTACGGATGGAAGAAAGAAGAGTCCACCGGAGTGGAAGAAGAAAGGTGGTGGATCGATGATGGTTAATTCTGAAGGGAATCAAACTGAGATCGATTATTATTTTGACTCAGTGGCCGGTACAGAGTTCGAAGACGAGGATATTGCTGAGGTTAGCAAGTTAGCAACCTCTTTGCATTAGTAATAGTTAAGGCAGGCGGCCGTGGCAAGGGCGGTGAACAGAAGAGTCAGGGGCAGACCCAAAACTTAAACAAGACACCAGCTTGGGTGAGGCCGGGTCACGATCAGGATGTGTGGCCGCAAGTGTGGTGCCTTTGTAGACATCGGCTCCACGAGGAACTTCATAAGTCGCGACTGCGTTGAGAGACTGTGCTAGGGTACCGGGTGCATCGCATGGGTAAATCTGTAGCATTTACCCTAGCCAACAAAGAGCGCATGGTTGTTGATGACTACGTTAAGGATGTAGTCTTCACCTTCTATTATGGAGGTGGGGAACTTGATCATAAGATTTCGTTCCTAGTTAGCGACGAAGTGTGGTGCCTTCGTAGACATCGTCTCCACGAGGAACTTCATAAGTCGCGACTGCGTTGAGAGACTGTGCTAGGGTACCGGGTGCATCGCATGGGTAAATCTGTAGCATTTACCCTAGCCAACAAAGAGCGCATGGTTGTTGATGACTACGTTAAGGATGTAGTCTTCACCTTCTATTATGGAGGTGGGGAACTTGATCATAAGATTTCGTTCCTAGTTAGCGACGACTTGTCATTTGACATGTTGTTAGGTATGTACTACCTGGAGGTTGCAAAGCCCCAGTTTGACCGAGACCGAAAGGTGCTTAAGCATGTATTACTAGAAGGGAGGACAGTCAGACTCACGAAGTATAAGGCTAGCAGTTTGATGGACACTTATGGGTATATGTGTGCATCATTATTCTATAATTATTATAAACAGAACCAAGAGGAGGGTATGCACTTAGTTTTTGTCTCTTAGAAAGAGGAGGCCGTGCTTAGTTTTTGTCTCTTAGAAAGAGGAGGCCATGAAAACACCCCCAGAGATAGAAAGTGTCGTCGCAAGATACCCTGATCTGTTTGAGGAGTCTTCAGGAGTCGTATATAGGGAGGTTGTCCATGCATAGAGATAGCTCAAGGGAGCAAGAAACCCAAAAGAAGAATCTATAGGATGGCACCTGCCGAGATAGACGAACTTCGGCGACAACTGAAAGAGCTCATAAAAGGGTTGGATACGGCCTAGCACCTCCCCCTTCGGCTCACCAGTCCCATTTGTTCAGAAGAAGGGGGGGGGGCACTAAGGATGTGCATTGATTATAGAGGCCTCGATGCCATCACTGTTAAGAACGCAGAGCCTCTACCACACATCGACGACCTTTTAGATCAGGGATACAACCTTTTGGATAGGGTGCAGGGATGTAAGTACTTTACCAAGATAGATTTAAAATCTGGCTACCATCAGATTGCCATTTGACCAGAGAACCAGCACAAAACCGCATTTCAGACCAGGTATGGTCTGTACGAGTTTGTGGTGATGCCCTTTGGCCTTTGCAATGCGCCGGGTACATTCTAGCACGCCATGAATAGGATGATTCATGACTACTTGGATAAGTTCATTGCCGTGTACCTCCACGACATAGTTATCTTTAGTAGAACTGTTGAGGAGCATGCTCAACGTGTAGAAACCGTATTTTCACTCCTACAACAGCACAAGTAGAAGATTAACTTAGAGAAATGTGAGTTCGGTCACACTAAAATCTTATACTTGGGTCATGAGATATTCGCGGAAGGTATAAGGCCCGAAGATGCTAAGGTGGTTAGCATTCGTGACTCTAAGGTCGCTAGCATTCGTGACTGGCCACGACCTGACTTTGTAATTGAGGTCAGATCTTTCTTAGGGATGACAGGCTACTATCGGAACTTTGTGGAAAACTATAGTACGGTCGCCGCCCCTTTTGACTTATCTCACACACCTTGACACACCATGGGAATGGACAGACGAATGCGAGGCTGCTTTCAAAAGACTGAAGCATGCTCTCATGCATCATGAGATTCTCATGGCTTGACCCGGAGAGGCCATTTGTTGTGACCACTGGTGCAAACCAATATGGCATTGGCTCAATGCTGGCTAAATAGGAAGGGAAGAAGTTGAGGCCGACTGTGTACATGAGTAAGAAGATGCCATCAAAGAAGTTGGTCAAAGTCCACCAAGGAAAGGGAACTCTACACCCTCTACAAAGCACTAGTCCACTGGAGACACACTCTGTTGAGAAGGTTCTTCTACCTGAGAACTGACCATCAGACACTCGAGTGGATCAAGACACAACCTGTCCTCTCTGATGCACTCACACACTGGATGGAGGTCATAGACCAATACGACTTCAAGCTAGATTATGTGAAGGGAGAGTACAACAAGGGTGCTGCTGCGCTATCATGTACGGCAGACTACCTAGGTGCGCTAATTACTGAGTTTGGCTTATCTGACGACGTAACTCGGTCAATGGTGGAAGCCTGCAAGGAAGACCCTGTCACGATGGACATCATACACAATCTTCAGGCCCAAGACAAGGCCACATCTGACGAGTTTGTGATGGTGGATGTGTTACTCTTTCTTGAAAAGGCAGGATTTAAGAGATTAGTCGTTCTAGCCAGTGAGATTTTGCGTAGTTTGTTTTTAGGAGTGTCATGACACAACGGGACATTTTGGCTATAAAAAGCCTAGTGCAAATCTGGTACAGCGATTCTGGTGGCCTGGTATGCTAGACGAAGGCAAGCAGTATGTACCGACTTTTCAAATTTGTCAATGGGACAAGCCGTGAACTCAAGCTCCGCTTGGGTTACTCAAGCCTTTGCCCCGTCCCGCTGGTCTGGGACAGAGGGTCTCCATGGACTTCATGGATACCTTCGTGACCAGCAAGAGTGGCAAGAGGCATATCTTCTCTTGTTTGCTTTATTTTCTCGAGGGCAGGGGCAGGTTGTTCGACCACACCCCAACCCTCCCGAAGTTTTTTGGCGACCCCCACTTTTCGGGGTGCACCGCATCACATGCATGCACATGCATGCGGATGTGCTACGTGCACGAGATGCGCCACAAGTATGATTCAAACTTCTAGTAATCAAGAAGGTCAGTTGCTCTGTCATCTCTCTCTCTCTCTCTCTCTCTCTCTCTCTCTCTCTCTCTCTCTCTCTCTCTCTCTCTCTCTCTCTCTCTCTCTCTCTCTTTCTCTCTGTTTATACCAGCATGAAAGAGAAATTTTTTCGACTTCGGCTGCATGTCCAGATCCATTCATGAGGAGCAATCGAGTGTCAACTTTTACTGCAGTGTGTCTCTTTGCTGCATCAGACGAATCGTGTCATTCTCCATCTTTTTTTTTGTTTGTTTTCGCAATCATGACATGTTGTGTATCTATAACTAATATCTTGTCTTCCCCTGCTTCTGTGCACTAGCTGTGCCCTCTCTTTCCCATACACTCATCATCAAGGTCCCCTCTGCCGTGCACATTTGGGGCGTACCCCATCTCACAGCGTTTTGCCATTGTCCCAGTTTGTCTGTAACCACTGGCACTTGTTTTTCATCATTCATCTGTCCTCACTTGGACCCTCCCTCCCATCCATGCGCATCTTTGCACATCTTGTTGCTGATATCCTCAACCCCAAATCCTGAACCCTAAACCCCAAACTCTGAACCCTAAAAGTGTGATTTTGTTTTCTGTGGTGCAGAGCCATCCTATTTTTTTAATGGCAGCAATGAGTTAGTGCAGACAAAGAATGGGTCTGAAGTGCAGCGACAGTGTCAAAACAGGAAATTGAACCTTGCCCGAGTGCTCATGCAGTTGTCAGGATGCTCATACGGTGTGTATGTTTATTTTCAGGTTGTCCTTGTCAGGAGGGATACGGGAGAGAAAGAGGCAGTTGCATGGGATAAACTGGCTGATCGTGCAAATGAGCTGCTGCAAACCATTCAGAAAGACCTTCTTGAAAAGGCGCGAAAGGAGAGGGATGCCTGTATTGAGAAGGTCAGTTGCTGGGAGGAGTTCATGACCGCTTTGAACGCAAAGAAGATGGTGCTGGCTCCCTGGTGCGATGAAACGGTGAGACTTCAATCGATGACGCCTTAAAACATCATCATTCGGGTCTTCGTTTTCTTTGAAGAGTACCTTTCTTGTTTGTGGACTAGTTGGTGTTGCATTTTCTTACAAGCCCCTTGTTGGTATGTAGACAGATAGGTAGATAGACAGACGCTAAAACTCTGACGAAACAGTCTGTCACAGCCCCCGGTTGCTTGACCTTCGCTCCCTTTCTGCCCGTTGTTCACTGGGCAGTTCATGTTGACTGTGTCCGTGAGGGCAGTGCTTGGTGCCCATCTCAGGGTATCGTCCGTTGTGGGGCTGCCGTTGATGCTCAACCACAACAGGGGTTAGACCACCAGTACGTTTGGAAAGGTCCATTTGTAGATGCTTGTCATCCTTGTCGCTGCTTGTTAACCGTCGCGACTTCCGGGGGTACTGGTGGTTTAAGGTGGGACTCTGCAGCGTGTAGAGGGTTTAGACTCCTGATGAGTCACAGTGAAGCTCAAATGAAACAGTTTGTCACACTCCACCTTTTCGTCCTTTTCTCCCTGTCTGTCTATGGTTCACCGGGTAGGCCTCTCTACGAGTACAGTTTACCAGCCAGCACCTTCTCCAAGCTGCAGTGAGTGCGATCGGTTTCTCTCCTGCTCTGTGCAGATATCCAAGGCAACTGCTACCAACGACCTGCCAAGCGGTCCTGGTTCGTCCTGAAAAGCGAGTGCTGCAACTGCCAAACTCACATGCCCAGCAGAGCTATCTGGAGGAAGCTGGGATGGGTGTGGCATGAATGAGAGTGTGCATGCATGTCCTTCTTGACCATACCACATCGAGTCAACTCTGGTGTCGATTGAGTCGCGCTAGCAGAGTTTCCTGGTTTCAGAATAGGATATTATGAAAGCTTTAGACGCAAAAGATATGCTCCGTGAAGTGGTTACGTGGATGTAGGTGATACATTCAGTCAGGATGCACCCTCACCGACCTCTCTTCCCATGTCCCTTGGGATGCGAACCGCCAAGCCCGAAGTTGATGGCCCTGTCCTCTCCAGATGAAAAGTTAGTCCCTACCGTCCTGATGGTTTATCAGGGTGTCTTGTCTTGTAGAAGTTGTAGTTCTCTGTTGGTTTATCGCCGCTTCTGTTTGTTTCGTTCAGGGTGGGCAATGACGGGAGGATGCAAGTCCCAGAAAACTCGTGTATTTTTGGAGACTCTGGACCAAATCACGGACAACATTGTGGCATGAATGAGAGCGCACGTGTGTCCTTCTTGACCTAACCAGATGCTCCTGATGGTCTGTCAGGGTGTCCTGTAGTTCTCTGTTGGTTTATCACTGCTCCTGTTGGTTTCTGAGGGTGGGCAATGATGGGATGCAAGTCACAGAAAACTTTTGTGTATTATTTTGGAGAGTCTAAACCAAAGCACGGCCTACGTTGGTCGATCCTTGTCGCATTGATAGTCCACTGCTCTATGGTCGCTTGTTGGGATTGCTTCTATGTGTACCAGCCGTTGAAATATTACCAAACTCCAATCGGTTCCTACAATCGTCGACTTGAGCGCCGTGCTGCCCTGAGCAACTCCCAACAAACAGGGTCCGAAATGATGAACTAACAAGCGAGGCAGATTTTCCTTGGCTATGAAAGCGCTAAACTCCCCTTCCTCCAGCTTTAGAGCTAAAAATAGTGCAGTCCGTCCTTGCTCCCGGTCCGAACTATATGGATAAGAACCAGCGTGAAAAGCCGTACCGCCGTCCTACTTTTGTTAAACCGCCAGTACACGGCCCCAGCCCTGCTGAAAAGAGACTCGTCGCCTAGTCCCAAAAGTTTGGGGCACAACCGTTGATAAATTCCATCAACGGCCGGCGTTGCATTTCGGACCTCCGAAGCGCGCTCCCAGTCGCCCGCGGCCGATGTAGGGCCATGCACTGGTGGTTTGGACTTTAATAAAGTGATGTTTGCCAGGGCTTTCCGGGTCCTGCCTGGATCTGGTGTAGTAGAAAAATCTATCGTCTCAAATCTTACGTGTCTAGGCCCTACCGTCTTCACCCGAATAGAACGCCCGGTAATTATGGCCGTATCTGGACTGAAAAGTTGCGTCAAATACAGCTGTAATGACCGGGCGTTCTATTCGGGTGAAGACGGTAGGGTGTTTAGTTCCACAGTCCAGATTCGAGCTGCACAGCAGCAAACACATAGAATCAGCACAAGTGGGAACAGCCCGTAGTTGGGCCAGGTCTCAGGTTCAAATCCCGCCTGAGGCCCTGAACCCAACACCCGCTGTTGCAGCATTCTAGCTGTGTGGTCAAGAGCACTGCATCGTGTCAGGACCTGCCTGCATTTTTGCTGCACGTGATCTGAGCATGATTTTATACTATCGTGATTTGTTAATTGCATTGGAAATCATAGGGTGGTGGGCTCAGAGGCGGGATTTGGACCTGAGACCTGGTACAGGACTGGGAGGGTAGGGTAGCATAACACGATCACGCAAAATGTGATGAGCAGACGTCAGAACAACGTGACACAGGTAAGTCCTGCTCACTCCCTCTGCATCACACCCTCCTCCCCGCCTCCATCCAGCTGATTCTCCTGCGCTTGTTTCTTCTGTGCTTTTTTTTCTTTTTTTTTTAAACCTGTCGATGGAGAGTCAGCTTGAACCATGATGGCACTCGTTGTTCCGTTTCTCTCGCCTTCATGTTCCTTCCTTGGAGCCAGGATGGCACTTGCTGTTTTGTGCTTTTTTTTTTTTTTTTTTTTT